CTATAGGCTACAAGCATGTTCATGTTTCATCTGAATTGTCTAGAATGGTATGTGGTCATCATTAATATCCTACTAGATGATTACATTGCTAGTTTGGTAGTACTATAAAAGTCTCGGCCTCTCATTATTATTTTCATCTCTCTTTGCCCTCAACTGCCCTATATATTATAAGTATGAAAATACATACATGGTTAAATAAAATCAGCTCATATATATTTTCATCTAACACAAAAGGTCTTAATCACAGATAATAGGCACACATAACATTTAATTATCTATATACTTCATATAAATGTGTAAGATGAAAGTAACTATGCACTCACTTGTTAAAAGTAGATGAATGGTGATTTTGGCAGCGCTCCGCTTCAACACTTAACTTTTCTTTTGATATGATAGAGATTTTCCTAAAAAAAAGTCTGGAAATTACACTAGCAGAACTCTGACTTGAGAGCTTCCACTTTTATGGCTCTTAAAGACTCTAGTACCTTGCTAAAATACCCTAAAATCTAAGGAAATTTCGAGATTTTTGCTAGTGATTTCAAAGAGAAATAGTTGGAATGTGTATAGGAAACAAATGAGGGGTTGCAACCCTTTTATAGGCAAAAATTGGGTTTGTATGCCGCACTTTTCAAGGTTTCGGGCTTTTATCATAGATTTTGGTGGGAGTTATGATTCCTACCTACATATTGCGGATTTTTCCTACAACAACGACTATCACTCCAACATTGGTGTACAACCCTTCGAGCTTTTGTATGGTCGGAGATGTCGTACCCCAGTTTGTGTAGGGGAAGGTTGATCACATAGTCATGGGGAGGGTTGAGGTGGTCCTCCAGACTATGGAGCTTATCCAATAGATCAGGTAGAGATTGCATATAGCTCATAGTCAGAAAAAGAGTTATGTCGAACGGTGTCGATCAGATTTGGAGTTTCAGGTTGGCGATATGGTACTACTGAAGGTGTCACCCTGAAAGGTTGTGATATGCTTCAGGAAGATGGGTAAATTGGGTCCCCGTATATTGGACCATTTCGTGTGACCACCAGGGTAGGCAGGGTGTCCTACTGGTTGGATTTGTTGGGTGAGCTTAGTCGGATCGACAACACTTTCCATGTATCGCAGTTGCGGAAGTACGTGTTGGACGATGAGGTACTTGTACATTTGGATGATATTCAGGTCGATGAGCACCTGAATTATATTAAGAGGCCGGTAGAGATAATGGAGAGAAAGATGAAGGTTCTCCGTAACAAGGATATATCTTTGGTAAAGATTCAGTGGCAACATCAGAGAGGCTCTGAATGGACCTAGGAGCCGGAGGTGGAGATGTGGGAGCATTATCTTGAGTTATTCACAGCAGCTAACTTTGAGGATGAAGTCTAGTTCAAGTGGAATAGAAATGTAACATCCCGATGATGATGTGTTTTCAATTTTAACCCTATGGATCAACGAATACTGCATTTTGATCCTAACATCCAGATGATGATGTGTTTTCAATTTTAACCCTATGGATCAACGAATACTGCATTTTGACCCTTGGGTTTGAGAAAGTTTGCAACAATGGCCCATAGTGGCATTTTGGTAATTTTGGCCAAAGGCCTAGTACGTTGGGTGTACATCGTGTACGCTGAACGTACTAGGGCGGACCTTAGTATGCTAAGCGTACACCGCGTACACAGGGTGTATGCGAAGAAACCCCATACCCTAATTTTTAGGGTTTGGTCCATATATAAGCATCATTATCACCTCATTTCTCATTCCCTCATCAACCTATATCTAAGAAAATATCCCTCTAGGTAACCCTAAGTGAGAAGAGTGAATCTTGAGCTTATCTTTATGTTTTTTGGTATTCATGAAGAAGAAGAAGGTGGTGGGAAGACCTTGGAGCTTGGAAGCAAATTGCATATGATATTATCTCCTTGCTAGCAACCTCCAGGAGGTAAAAATCTCATAATTTGATCATCATATCTTATAGATATAGCCATTTCTTCATTTGGGGCAGTTTTGGTCCCAACTATGATGATTATTGAGCATGACATGCTCCTAGTCGAATAAGTCGTCCTTTTAGGCCCAATGAGGGATCTTGAGTCATAAAAATGTGGTCTTGATGCTTAGTTTTTCCCCATGCATGCTCTAGAAGGTCTTAAGAAGTTGGGATTTTGTGTATTAAGCACATAATGGGCATGCAAAGTCATAAATTTGGTGTAACGCCCCATTTCTGGTATGTAATTCAAATAAAGTATTTTCAATTCTGAAGGGGTACTCGACGAGTCTGTAGCCCGACTCGTCGAGTAGAGACGGGACGATCACGCGTTTTGAGTTGGCTACTTGACGAGTCCATATGCTGGACTCGACGAGTCCGCCTGTCTGGATGAAGCCCTAATTTTAAGGGTTTGCACCCTATTTAAACACACTTATGCGCCCTCAACCTCGCCTATATCACTCTCAGAACATTTCCCCTGTAAACCCTAGCCCCATTGTTGAGTTTGAGTGTGGTTGTGATAGCTTGGAAGTTTTGGGAAGGAAAGAAGGTCCACAGAAGGGAAGGAAGATCCAGGAGTTAGCTTACATATGTTCTTCATTTAGGTAATGAAGTTATAACCTTGTGCATTCCTCCATCATAACCTCCTTTATGCTTGTTATGCCTTCTTTGGAGCCTTTTATGATTCAAAACTTGAGATATGGACTCTCATTTGATGAAAACTTCAGATCTGGACTCTCATTGCATTTTAGAAGTGTAAAGTTTCAGTTATGGTCGTGATTGAGGTCCTTCTTGAGCTTGGAACCCCTTTAAGAGCTTAGGGTTGGCATTTGAAGCCTTTAAATCCATGCATGCACGTAAAAGCATGCCCTAGAAGCTTGGATATGTGATTTGGAGCTGCTGCATGGCTCAAATCAGACTTGTATGGAAAAGAGACTTAATGGACTCGGCGAGTCGCAAACTTGACTTGACGAGTCATATGAAGATAGCCATGGACTCGACGAGTTGGATGAGCAACTCGGCGAGTCCGATGAAGATTGCCTTAGACTCGATAAGTTGTTATGCAACTCAGCGAGTCGAATGAGTTTTTCCCGAGAAAAGTAGTGTTTGAGTGAAATGGCTTCATTCCTTTGTAGTTACACATAAAGTCATCAACTTTACGTGTTCAGGTGGTCCCAAGGGCTCAGATCTACGAGTTAGAGGCCCTGGAATGGATTAGAATTCGATTGCATGGAATCTGCGTTAGGACTCAGCGTGTTGTTCTTCGGACTCGACGAGTCAAGTCGCGAGTCCCCGTTTTCCCTTCGAGTTGTGAGTTCAGAGTGAATCAGTGAGAGGGAAAGGGGCTCGGTGAGTTAAAGTCAGAGTTAGTAAAGGAGGGACTCGGCGAGTCCGATCAACTGGAAGTTAACTTTGACCAGGGGTAATATAGTCATTTGACCCCAAGAGCATTTACCAGTAACTGATCTAGTGTTTTTGGAAATTGTAGCCGGACAGTTTCGGAGTGGCGGTCAGCCACTTTTAGAGTTAGCATCACAGCAGCCAGCACTACGAGGTGAGTTTTCCTTCCAGTAGGAACGGGTCTACGGCCACAATGCCGACTCATCTAGTTAGCAGTAGTTCCGGACTTTGGTCTGATGCAGTAGTTCAGTGTGCTTGATGTCTTTGTGATTCAAGTATGTCTTTGTGTTATGTGTTTCGAACTTCGGTCCGATGCAGTGTGCAATATATGTGTTTATGCTAGTTGATATGTTTATGTTATGCTATGTTATGATTAGTCAGTTTCCGGACTTCGGTCCGATGCAAGAGACAAGGTCCCAGTTAGTTCTGGATTTTGATCCGATGCAGTTAGTTCCAGACTTCGGTCCGATGCAGAGGTCAAGGTCCCAGTCAGTTCCGGACTTCGGTCCGATGCAGAGGGCAAGGCCCTAGTTAGTTTCAGACTGCGGTCCGATACAGTTTCCGAACTTCGATCCGATGCAGTGGGCAAGGCCCAATATGTGCTATATGATTGTATGGTATGTGGTAGTCTGGGGGATCTCACTAAGCTTTGTGCTTACAGTTTCAGTTTTGGTTTCAGGTACTTCCGCAAGCAAAGGGAAGGGCTCGAGATGATGACATTGCACACACCACAACTTCAGCTTTTGTCCTGGGAGTTTATTTCATATACTTTGATATGTTGTTACAGTTCTTTTGTTATGACACCTCTATTATAACTTTTTGGGATTTACGACGTACGATTTTATGATATATTATAGATCGTTGATAACCTTAGTATTATTTAAACAAAATTTTTTGGGTCGTTTCAGTTGGAAACTTTATGACTCTTAGTGGTATTTTGGCCTTGGATCTGAAATTTGGACGTGAGAGCTCAATACATTAAGCTCTTATTGAGGAAAGGAGGTTTTGAGCGTATGTCGTGCGTACGAGGTCAACCTCCCAACTCCGATCAAAGTAGGAGTACGCCCAACATAGGAGTTAAGTACACCCTGCGTACTCAACTGAGTGGACCTAGTTGACTCCTTAACCTGTTGACTTTGATTTTGACCGATGTTGACCAAGTTTGACTTAAGGGTATTTTGAGCTATAGTTAAGCCTTGGTCTTTATCTGTTGAATAAGTGACCTGTAGAGCCGGTATTCAGAGCCATGTATTGTTCAACTATTCATCAGACCGTGATGTGAGTTTTCCTCACTGTATTCGTGGGTCGAAGACACCAATACTGACCCACTAGATCTGTATCATGATATATAAAATGTTGTTATGTGGTAGGAATCTGTAAAACTGTTGCTAGTTTGTTAACCGGTTATTTGAATTTTTTAGATGTAATATATCATCTAAACTTTTGTTTGTTCACATTTTTTTAGATGTAATATATCATGTAAATTGTTGTTTGTGCGTAATCCTTTTGACACAATCAAAGAAATAAATATATTCGTTTTCCCATTCCGAAAATTTAAGAAGTACTTTTATAATTAAACACCTTAAAAGTCGAAACAAAAAGTAATTTTTATATAAACACCCCTAAATGCAAAGGGTAAAATTAATAGGTGCCTATACCCTCCTTCCGTCTAAACGCCTGCAGAACCTCGCAGGCATATCTGGTTGCGTAAATTCTTGCATTATTTCGATATTCAAAGAACACCAGAAATTGGCGATGCCCAGTAGTTGCAGCATTCGAGCTCTCTGGATCCTCAACAATCAAGACTCCGTCGTCTTCTCCCGGTAATTTCGATAACTATATTCATAATTTACTAGGGCTTAATGTTTGTTTTACTTTAACAGATCCAGCTTATTCGTTTTCCGTAACTCCTTGTTGAATCTCCAAGTTTAATCATGAATTCTATGATTATTGTTTTATTCTGTTGTTGTGATTTGAGCAGGAGGTTTTCAGTGGTTGAAAGACGTTGGACTGTTGCTTGCAAGAAAGCGAATAAGAGGTCTGAAGATAATCAAGACACAAATTTGTCGTCATCATCTCTTCCCACAGATTCGGAGCTAGCTGAAGCATTTGTGGAACGGAAAAAGAGGTTTTCCCAACCTGAGATTTGTTATTCGATGCAAAAATTTAAAATTGATAATATTTTTTCAACATTATAACTAATTCAGCTGCATAATACAGGGAAGGATCTGTTCGTGGGTATGGAATACGGGTCAAACAGTCAATCGAAGGATCAGATTCATGGGTTGATGATCCAATTATGCGTCACATAATAAGCCTTCATGTTAAGAATGAAGAAGATGGAAAAGACGATACATTTTGGCCTCTCATTTTGCACACCAAAGGCCAATATTACATCCTTATACTCCCCTTGGTTGAACCTAGTCATTTGAAAGCATACAACACAATACGTAAGAGATCTGATTGTGGAAATGGCGTTGGAGTTGATGAAAACTTGTCTTCTCTTTTGCTTCAACTTCCATCCATCACAGGGTATGGTAAGTTGCTTGAGTTTTTTTTATATGTATCTCATACTAACATTTTTTTTCCACCATTGACACAAATACTTGATATTTCTCCATAGTGCATTCATGGTGGCACATGTTCTAGGAGACATAATCACATCAGATTTCCAAGAACCTGAAGTTATTGGAAATGCAGCTTCATCTGTTGGAGGTTTACTGGATTCATTAACCGGAAGTATTGGCATTTCTGCAAGACCAAAACCCGTAGCACCACCAGTTGCAACCTCCACCAATTCCACCACTGGTTCCGGTGGCTCTGGTGCATCAGATTCTCCAAAGCTTGGCCCCAAAAACCCTGAGAAAGACGCTCTTCGAAGCTTCATCACTTCTGCAATGCCCTTCGGTTTGTAATTTAATCTCTACTTTTAAACTTTCTCTCTCTCTCTCTCTCTCTCTCTCTCTCTCTCTCTCTCTCTCTCTTTTTTAATTGGAGTATCATTTAATGAAATGCTACTTTTCTTGAATAAAGGAACCCCATTGGACATCAACTACTCAAACATTTCTATTATTAGAAACAACGGGTTCTCATTAACCGATATGCCACCTGTCGACAGCAAGCAGCCAGCTTGGAAACCTTATCTATACAAAGGAAAACAAAGACTAATATTCACAATTCAAGAGGTTATAACCGCAGCAATGTATGACAGGGATGAAATCCCTGACAGCCTGTCGATATCCGGTCAGGTAAACTGTCGGGCAGAATTAGAAGGGCTGCCCGACGTTCTCTTTCCCCTGACCGGATTAGACAGTAAAAAAATCGAAGTAATTTCATTTCATCCATGTGCTCAAGTTCCTGAACAAACTGGAGGCGATAAACAAGCAGTTATGTTTTCACCTCCACTTGGGAATTTTGTCTTATTACGTTATCAAAGTCCATGCTCTTTAGGAACCCCAATCAAAGGGTTTTATCAGCTTTCAATGGTGTCAGAAAACGAAGGTGCGTTTTTGTTTAAGTTGAGTTTGATGGAGGGGTATAAGAGTCCTTTAACAATGGAGTTTTGTACTTTGAATATGCCTTTTCCTAGAAGAAAGATAGTGGGGATTGAAGGGACACCTTCTATTGGAAGTGTGTCGTTTACTGATCATTTTGTTGAGTGGAAAATTATACCGAGTGGACGTGGGGTTAGTGGGAATAAGAGTTTTGAAGCCAGTTTTCCTGGAACTGTGAGGTTTGCTCCGTGGAAAAGTCAAAGGGTAGTTTCGTCCGGATTTTTACAAGGGATTGTGGGTGATGAAGAGAGTGATACGGAAATGGAGTCGGGGAATAATAGCATGGTTAATGTAGATGAATATTTGATTGAGAAGATGAATAAGAATCTTCTGGCTGTTGATTTGGAAGAGCCGTTTTGTTGGCATGCTTACAACTATGCAAAGGTATGTAAGGGCAAAATGGTCATTTAGTCTCTTGGCTGTTTCTTTTTTTACTTAATGTGGACATCAAGACAACTATTTTTTTCCACCCCTAAAAAAATTATGAATATTGTTTGTTGGAATGTAAGGGCAAAATGGTCATTTATTAATTGTACCAAATTGGCACAGGTATCCTTCAAGATGGTTGGGGCATCTTTATCAGGAATGACAATAGATCCTAAATCCGTGAGTCTATTCCTGTTGTTTCTTTTTTTAATAAAAAACAGAAGCTTACTGAAAGGAAAAAGAAAAAGTAAATAATAATATTGAGTTTATGAAGATTTTTGTGGCTAATTGATATGCAGGTGAACATTTTTCCATCTGTAAAAGTACCTGTGGAGTATTCTACTCAGGTGATTTTCTTTATGTGTTTCCATAGCTCTATATTCTATAAGTTTATTTTTTTATATTAAAAAAAAATATTTATAAATTTGGCAACAGGTCCACTCTGGGGATTATATATTGTGGAATACATTAGGTAAATGCCCTGTTGCTGCTACACCAAAAGAAATAGGCAAAAAATGATTGTGATTATGCACCAAAAATGACAACTTTTAATTTATTCATTTTTGTTCACATATTTTTGTGTAAACTTTCATGTAATACATTTTGGTCTTTCAAGTTTGAGTTGAGTTTATACAGTACTAAATAATTTAAGTATATACTGATACTTTAAATGTAGTATTTATAGACGTAATTTGTAAAGTTATTCTAAAGACAAATTCGTAAAAAAAGCTGAGGAATATAAAGGGTATTTTTGGAAACTTATATAAGTTAGAAATAAGGAATACGATTGAATATTTGTTTATGTCCACCAGGAATGAAAGATTTAATAAAAATGACTGAATTTTTTGTGTTTTTTTAAATCATCTTTTTGTTTTGAACGAGTCATTTCGAATATTTCAGACTAACTCTGTATTAAATTAAAAATACTTTTTTCTGGCCAAAGAAAACATAGGCCAAGTTCCAGATTCCAACTTTCAGACATTGAGGGTGCGTTTTGTTGTAGAAATTTTTTCGGTTTTCTAGGAAAATTTTTCAAGAAAAATGGATATTTTGAGAATGCTTTTGGTTTGTTTAGTTTTTCAAAATTTTCCAAGAAAATGAAAATTTTCAGTTTTTCAAATTGTATGTAAATTAGAAAAATGATTTTTACAGTTTTCCAAAGTTTTTCAAATTTTTAAAATGGAAAATAAAAACTCACGGTTTCAACTAAACGCATTTTCTAAAAATTTTATTGAAAATTGAAAATGAAAACTCAACTCTATTTTCTAAAAGCATTTTCTTAGAAAATGAAAATAATTTTTCATAACCAAACACACCCTGAACTATTTTGGAAATTTAATAACTCCGAAATTTTGAGAAAATGTTTCGTATTCTTTATTTAAATCTAAAAAAAGTTGAAGAAACGTTACAAATGAAAAAATGTTTGAGAAAATGTTTCATTTTCTTTATTAAATCTAACAAAAAGTCGAACAAACATAACAAATGAAAAAAATGAATAGTAGGTACGATACAAACGCCTAAAATGTGACAATTGATTGAAAAATGAGTGATATCAGAATCGATGGGTTTTGTTAATATCTCTAGAAAAATGGTCATTTTGGACATTGGTAGAAAGGGCTTTTAAAAAACATTTGGTGTAAATGAGAAAAAAAATACACATAATAAAATTTTCTGTTGTCCCGAATGCCTCATTCATTGTTAGAAAGTGGGTTATAAAAAGGTTTGAAAATTCTGAGAATCGTGTTAGACACTTTTAGATTAAAGTATTTGGGTGGTACTTCCAATCTTTATTCAGATAATACTCAGAAACTTAAAAAACAGAAGAGAGAATGTTAAAGATGTTATGAAAAAGAAGAGTACCAACAACTGATTTCAAAAATGATCATATAACCAGAAAAACTTCCTGTCTTAAAACTACCATAGCAGTTTTATGTCTTAAAATTGTTCAAAAAACGGTTATAAACTAACTTAAATCCGGATCTAGAATATGGATCACAAAATTGGGTACATTTACCAAAAATCTGGATTTCTAATGCATTTTTAATATAGTAATATAAGGGGCTCTGCCCCTTGGACCCCACTAGGGGCTACCGCCCCTTGGACCCCGCTCCCAGGGGCGCTCCCCCCAAACCCCCGTTGGTTCAGGGACTTCGCCCCTAAATAGCAGTATACTTTCAACAAAGACAAAATTAAACAAATGTACACTCTGCACCATACCGATTTGTTCAATAATTGTCAAAGTGGCATTGATCAACAAATTAACCCCATGACACTTAAATAACATTAGTGATATAAAATCACCAACATTCATTGTTTATGTCATTTCGGCAAAATGCAAAAAAATACGGCAAGTACATTTACAAAGAAAGAAAAAATTATTTTTGTTAATATTCTTAGAAAATTTTGTCAAAGTGTGTGGTTGTGGAAAACTGTTTTTATTTTCAAATTTCAATGAAAATTTTACAAAACGCGTTTGGTTGGAACCGGTAGAGTTTTTATTTTTCATCTTAGAAATTTAGAAAATTTGAAAAAATCACTTTTCTAACTTACATACAACTTGGAAAACTGAAAATTTTTATTTTCTTGAAAAATTTTGCAAAACTGAACGAACCAAACACGTTTTCAAAATTTTCGTTTTTCTTGAAAAATTTTCTTAGAAAACTGAAAATTTTTGCACAACCAAACGCATCCTTAGGGTTATGGAAAACTATTTTCATTTTTTATGAAAATGTTTTCAGAAAATAGAGTTGAGTTTTCAATTTTAATTTTCAGTGTGGAGTTTTCATTTTCCATCTTAGAAATTTGGAAAATTTTGAAAAACTGTAAAAATCACTTTTCTAATTTATATACAATTTGGAAAACTGAAAATTTTCATTTCCTTAGAAACCTTTGGAAAACTGAACGAACCAAACGCGTTTTCAAAATTTCCGTTTTTCTTGGAAAATTTTCCTAGAAAACCGGAAAATTTTCCACAACCAAACGCACCCTTAATGATTTTAGTAATTTTTTAAGAGATGTGGGTATGGGCAACGCCACAAGGGGCGTTATTGGGTGTTATTGCGTGTTATAGCATGTGAACACCGCCCCCTCCTCGTTATCAATCGTTATTAGCCTACGTGTTACTCCCCATTACCACCATAACATGTTATAACCCGTTTTTTTTGTCTTTTTCCTAATAACGCTGGTGTGGGCTACCAGTCTTATACATATTTTGAAAACATTGTGTTGAAAGTCGGGTCGGTCATCTCTAACTGGTCACCTTGCGTTCAATGGTTTAACCGGTGCAAAAAACAAATGACATTATTACATCATAATTGATTTTAAAAATACAAAAATACAAAAAAAAAATCTTCAAAAATAAAATATCTAACATCCAAAGTTTAATTTTTCAATAATCAACATCATATGAAGATATTGTACTAAAAACCCAAAGCTCACTAACATCCTAATCTTTGTTAAAACAATTCAAATCAATAACTTGTAACAACCGGATAATCTTCAAATTCTTCATTTCCTTCCGTATCAAATAAAAGCTTATCTTAACAATTACATTCAAATGGAAAGAGAACATGAGAGTGGAGATGAATGCTAAGAAATTTTCTATTTATGACCCCTTTTGCTGCAGCAGGTCTTAAAATAGGCGACATAGAAAAAAATGTCAAACCTTCGTATCTTTCATTGACAAAACTGGAATATAATGATTAAATGAAAAAAAAAGAAGACCAACATATAATCACTCTTACGTATATCGCCCTAGATTTCATCTATAGGAATCTATTTTGCAATAGAAAACGCTTCATACAAACTACATTTACACCTAACCTACATTTTCCTTCTTAAATCAACGCCCTAAAAATCATCCACCTCCATCAACTCAAGTGATAATCTCATATTCTTATACTTTCCTACGCAAAATGCCATTAAACGGGTCGACCCGTGTCATGAACCCATATCTGATTCTGAAAATTGTTTGATGATTATGATGATGATGATGATGATGATAATGTCATGAGAAATCACTTGCAACCGATCCATACATCTCCGACTGTTGAGGACTAACATCCGGTCTCAATGGTGGTGGTTGGCCACCACTTCCGCCAACTTCACCGCCTGATTCACCGCCAGACTGTTGTAACAAGATCATTTGTTAGATACTATAAAAAAAAACATTATGTACAACAAAATTTAATCATTTTTATAACGATTCTCACATTGATTAATCCATTAACATGTACAACAATGATTGTTATATCATCCGTCCGATTCTCATGTTCTAACCATGATTTGTAAGATTCCGCAACCACAGCAGAACAGGCCCCTCGTGGGTCCATGTATCTATCAACCTACACACCCAAAAAGTGCTTAACCCATTAAGTCAAAAAGGAAACAATCAAATTAACAGTATATGGTTTACTTAGTACTTAATTACCATATCAACAACAGTTTGGCTAGATAAGAACTCAAATACGCCATCGCTTGCAAGAACAAAGAACGGATGATTATGAGTGAGTTGAGTTACAGAAACTTCAGGAACAGCCATAACACCGATCTTTTCAGCAAGGCTATCACCTACACTGCGTGTAAAAGCAGTTCCAGGATACATTGCATTCTGCATCCATAAACGTGGTGGATCGCTACCTGAGCTTTCTTCATCACCCCATGATTGAACACTCGGATCTTTTAGCCCTTCAACTTGATCGACACTCAAAACCCTAGCTCCACATTCTTTCACTCTTTCACATTCATCGTTTCGATAAGGGGTTTGATCATCGGATAAATCTTGAGAAACTATACGACCTTGATGGTCAGGTTTAACGGAGATCACAGCTCTTGAATCGCCGACATTAGCCACGTAAAGCTTATCATTTATAACAAGGACAGTAATCGCAGTTGTGCCACTCATGGAATCGTCGATGTCCGGGTTGTCGTGGAGTTCGTTGTTAGTTGTGGAGAAAGCGGAGTTGTAAGCTTTTACGGGATCTTCCAATAACGTTTCGTCACTGGAAAGAATCTCGATGAGCCTGTTCTTGACGAAATTTGAACATTGCTTGCCGGAATGACCATGGCCATCGAAAACACCGAAGATGTGGACATTGGGGTTACCTTGGATACTTGTTTTGATACAGAAACAATCTTGATTATCTTTATTCGGGGTGTCAGGGTAATACCCACGTCGTGTAAGCGCGGCACACTCCAGCTTGAAATCGTGAGAAGGGATAGGAATAACTTCGGAAAACTCGTCTGCTGTGGTGTTTTTTCGTCTCTTCCGCTTGATCTTCTTACCACCATCAGACAAAGATGATGGAAACTTGCAACAAACACAACCCATGACTCTGTCCCTGTGGCGAAAACCGAATCAAACCGTGCACGCACACCACATGTTTGTGAAAAGTTCCAAGAGAAACAGAGAAACGATGACACCCAAAATGGGGACGAAAGAAACCCTAGAAGCAACAAACCCCTTCAAGGTATAAATTTATTTGGTTGAAGGGGATGATTGCGAATCTGCGAACCATCTTGATTTATCTTTTTGATTTTGTTTCTTCCCGGTCAACGATGAATTGGATGTTCTTGAAAGAAGTCTCCTTCCCCCCATCAACACGAAATATGTCACGGAATGTGAAATGGTAGTTTCTTGGAAACGATGTAGATAGGAATAGCAATGGAAATTGGAAAGGGGGAAAACCCATATGAATTGCATTCTATTATGATTGTGATTGGAATTTTGTTGTAAAATAATATTTACG